GTGTGTGTGTGTGTGTGTGTGTGTGTGTGTGTGTGTGTGTGTGTGTGTGTGCGCGCGCGCGTTTGATGCGTCAGTGCAGCTGCAGATTTATTACTGATGGAATATTAAAAATGACACGAAACAGCAACTTGGAGGCTAAAAGTTAGTTTCATTGTTTTTTCCTTCTTTTTTCACGATAACGCAGGGCCAGTGAGCAGCGGAGGGGCTGTATAGTGTGTGTGTGTGTGCGCGCGCTTGAGGAAGACATTAGTGCGGCTGGAGATTTATTACTCAGGGCATATTAAAGACGACACAGAACAGTAAATTTGCAGCTGGTTGGTTTATAAAGTATTGAGCTACAGGTTCGCTATAAAGAGCTGATATTGTTCGTCCATTCTTTCTTTCCTTTTTTTTTTTTTTTTGATAGGCTACAACGCAGCATGCAGCCAGTGAGCAGCGGAGGATTAATCTACAGATTTTACAGACGGAATATTAAAAATGACATGAAACAGCAACTTTGTATAATTAGTTATCTCCGCCAAGGAGGTAATGTTTTCGGTCCTGTCTGTCTGTCTGTCTGTCTGTCTGTCTGTCTGTCTGTCTGTCTGTCTGTCTGTGGACAGCATAACTCAAAAACGTGTGGACGAATTGACATGATATTTACGACACATGTTCATACTAGCACACGTAACGCACCGTTAAACTTTGGAGATGTTTCGTATCACGATGCGGACACAGGATTATTTCTTTTAATTCGAGCAACTCAGCCAGAAGTTGTGACCTCCCCTAGGCCTGCACAGAACTTCAGGAACGTGTTGCTAGGTTAGGTGAATAACAGAGAAGACGCAGGCACAACTGAGCTGAACCTGGTACCGGCCCACGAGCTGCACCACCGGCCCAGACGCAGGTCAGAGGGCCGGTGGTTCAGTCCGTGAACCGGCCCACAGGCTGGAGTGAACCCCCGCGTGCAGACGACGGGTGGGGGACCGGTGGTTCAGCTCATGGGCCGGTACCAGGTTCGGCTACTAATACCTCAGAAGACGAATTTGAAAGGTCTTCCGGCTAGATCTAACAGAGATGTGGTGCTCCATCTCGTCATTTCACTGTGGAACATCACCTGTCAGTCACCAGGGGCACAACAAGTGGGGGTGGCCACGGGGGGCTGTGCCCCACCAGATTTAACCTCTTGAGTCCCAAGCTTTGTGCTTATTTAAATATTTCCCAGCTATATAAGATTAGTAGAACCTTATAAATATAAGTTTTTTGAAAAACTAAGAATTAAAAATATGAATATATATTTTACTTAAAATAAAAAAAACTTAAAATAGTTCATCTGAAAAAATACAACTAGTATAAAATAAATGTCCTCAATATCAGGATGAAGCTTTTCATGAGGTTAGAGGCATTAAATAAATCAATAATTTTAAGCTATATTTATAACTGGACTCTATTTTGAAACTGTAGATGTTTCTCTTCCCGTCAGGGAGGCGTTGTCAGTTGAAAATATTTGGAGTGGGAGCTTTAGAGCTTCATGAAGGTCTATAGCTTTGAACACAGAGTAGAAATCTGCCCCCAAACTGGGCCATGATGCTTTGCGTTAGGCAAACATGGCGGTATCTGCAAAATACTCCTTTGCAGGATGGGGGAAATTGGTCTTGGCGGAGGTTTGCACTTTCCGAGTGCTTCTAGTTTAAAAATATTTCACCGCCACAGAATCACTAAAGTGAGCTAATTCAGTTGTTTTGATTGATGCGACGCAGCAGGCATCTTTCCCATAATAAAAACATTGCGGTCCAGTTCAGGTCAGCGGAGTCCTGCTCCACGCCTCTATGCGCTGCGGGTTCATTTATGAACACGATTATGTGAGCGGGACCTGCTCGCCTTCACCCGTGGTCTTATGAATGACCCGGGGAGGCTTAAAGCCAGACTGGTCTGTGTGGCAATTGCGTGGATTTGATTTATGAAAGAGGCTACCGTCACGTGTATAAAAATGACGTAATTTAAAACAAACAAGCAGCGCTTAGCCTGGCGGCGGGGGCAGCAAAACATGGCGGGCCGCCAGGCTTATAAAACACTGGGGGAAACACTGAGGTGACTGTAAAGACTTGCTGTGGTGTCACGATATATATGAAAATTAGAATGAATTTTGCAAAAGGGACATGTATTGGTGAGAATTTGGTGATATGATACATATCACGACAAAGGGAGTATAACCAGGGTCCCTGCAGATCCTTAAAAAGCCTTAAAAAGGCA